TGAGGTGAATCCAAGTGTTGTAAGTCTTGTGAGTTTTTGTGGCTGTGACTTGGCATTGTGCTCTGGCACTTATCCTCCTTATTTTGGAGAGGGAACCAAGCTAACAGTTCTGGGTAAGATCACCACAATAATTTTGTAATAAAGAAAATGCGAGTTTTCTAATCTGAATTAATCCTTTGTGTTAATATGTGTGGAAAAAAAGTTGGCCTGCATGTTTTTGTGCGTTAATGTTTATGTTTGCCTGGCATGTGCACAAGATCTAAAGGCAGTTTTAGTCATGTGTGTTAATGTGATTCTTCTTTGTCCTTTGTCCTTGCAGAAGAAAACAGTAAAATCACTCCACCACAAGTAAAAATACTGGAACCTTCAAAACATGAGTGCAGAAACAGCAAAGACAAAAAAAGGAAGAAGACCCTCGTCTGTGTGGCCTCTGGTTTCTACCCTGACCATGTCGAAGTGTATTGGCAAATGAATGGGAAAAATGTCACTGATGGTGTGGCAACAGATGAAGCTGCAGAGCGGATTGAAACCCCCCCTGTATCCTATAGAATCACAAGCAGGTTGAGAGTTTCTGCTAAAGATTGGTACACGGAGGGAAAAAACTTTTCCTGCATTGTCAGTTTCTACAATGGAACGGGCACCACCAAACATTTTGGTGAAATATCTGGTGTTGAAGGTAAGTTTAGGAGCACAAAATGATCCATAATTGATGACATGGGAAATGAATGTATTCTTTTCTAATTTATTTTATTCTTCCATTAGATAAAGAAGATGGAGGCATGGGAAGAGGTAAATACATATTTTGTGGTTTTATTACAGTTCAAATCATCATCACAAGCACAAACTTAAAATCAGTGTATGTAAGAGACTGTTAAATTTGAATTTTCTAAAAGTCTAAACACAATCTGTACTGAAAACCGCCTCCACAAAGTACACTGAACATTTCCCCTGTGATATTTTTTTATTTATTCTTTTACAGAGAAATATTTGATGATCACAAATAAAGCCAAACTCTCCTACACCGTTTTTATCTTCAAGAGCTGCCTCTATGGAGCCTTTGTTGGATTTTTGGTCTGGAGGCTGCAGGTTTGTTGAACATGAACTCCAATTACATTACATTGTCCTAAAAACAATTAAAACAACAAAAATAAAAGCAAATACAACTGTTTGCTTGGCATTAACACAGATTGTCCTTTATGTGTGTTACAGAGTTCACCAGGAAAACGTAAAAAATAAGAGCTGAGCTGTGGACTGACCAAAGATTTGGGACTTGGATCATTTATGT